ACAACTATTGCTAATGGCAAGGCTTAGAATAAGCCTGCAGGACAGTCCTTGCTAGGGACATATGGGTGAGCCATATGATGTCTTCTTGCAGACCTACTTTTCCTCCTTTTACCATATGTCAAAAGTACTAGGAAGCAAGACTTTTGTCATTACATGTCTACTGAAGTTATTTTCAGGTTATCGGAAGTTAACACTTGATAATAAAACATATATAATGAGATGGGCTTTTAAAATGATAAAATTGTGGCATCAAGATTAAAACATTTTTGCTTTTTCTTTCAGATAAAGAAATAAAATAATTGAGTTGTCTTGTATAGCTAACAGATAGAAAGAGGGGACATCCAATTTTGCAAATTACTCTATTGTCAGTTATTTCCTCAAGCATGAACAAAAATATTTAGCTGCAAAAAAATCTTAAAATAACTAGAATGTTTTAAATGTTCTGTAAAATAAAAGTAAGAAGCCTAAAGTTTAAAGAAAAACAAATGACTGCCTATTATGAAATTTAATTTCTGCTAATTTTTTCCCCTCCCAGATACATTTCTTGATGTTTTCTCAGCTTGCGTACTTTTGGTGAAAGCAATTTATCAATATTTCTGCAGTACTAACACTATCTAGTGGGCTAAGTATGACTTATGTTTAACACAGATGGAAAATAGTATTTGCACAGTTGTACTTGTAGTGTTTATTTCAACTTGTGTCAAACAGAGTTTAAAGGCTTGGGAAAATATTTTGAAATGCTGACAGATGTACAATCACATGACATCTTGTTTCACAAGTTCACAATTAACAGTTTTCAAAATTTATTTCTCTGTTTCCTTGGACATGAACCCAGTAGAGGGATTGTTTCAGCCTGCCTCATTAGATCTAGCAGAGAAGGAATATTATGGGTACCATGGGCTAGGGACCTACATGTGCTCTGATGGAAAATCCATTATAGAACAGGGGTGTCAAACTCAATTTCATTGAGGGCCGCATCAGGATTGTGTTTGACCGCAGGGGACGAGTGAGTGTGGCCAGGGTGGGCGTGGCCAGCTCGACGTCCTGCCCTCTGCCAGAAAAACAGAGTCCGATAGGGCCGCGCATGGCCCTCTCAAGCTGTTTTTGCTGGCAGGCACACTGCAGGCCAGTCATTCACCGTTTCCAGGGCAGCCCCACGGGCCAGTTCTAAGCATCCCAAGGGCCGGATCTGGACCACAGGCCTTGAGTTTGACACCCACGATATAGAACATCCTTCACCCCAAAATTAGATTAGCTCTATAAATTTCTATATTCAAAAACCTTCAAGACCTGGTTATATTATCAGGCCTGGGACTCCAAGGGAATCAACGACTTGCCTTGATGGCTCCATTGTTGAGATTCCATTCTTATCATCCCTTATCAACTCTCTAGGATTGTATCTTTGGTTTTTATGATATTTATTTATATGGTTTTTTATACTTTATACCTGTTGCTTTTACATTTGTTATTTATCTGATTATTGTGTACTGCCCAGAAGTAACTTTAGGTGAGAATAAGGGGGGAGGGAGATATAAATCTGATAAGACAGACAAATGATAGACAGACAGCCTTCAGAGTCCATAGCCTTCAGAGGCTAAAGTTTATTTGATTGGATTAGACTTGTTAAACTTGCATAGTGAATTCTACATCGTAACAAATATGATTGACATTCTCTGTTGAGTGAACTCATAATTACCTCCATACTACTTTAATACTTTTAATGCTATAAATTAGCCACGTATTTATTTGATCCCAAGTTATGAATCATATAATCTTGTTCTGTGTACTTTGCATCAGCAATAATTAATCTCACACTTACCTTCTCTTGCTTTTTTACAAGAATGCTCAAATTAAGATATATTGAGGAATAATGTTTTCAATTAATTTTAGTAAATATTCACATATTTTAAAAATAAGCATTTCTAGGTTATCATGAAAAACACATTTACATAAGAATAAATCCAACTGGGCATGTGGGGTCATTCTTCTGAGTAGACATGCACAAGGTGCACTAACAGTGGCACAAATATATTGTCAAATAAGTTTATATAATATTATTGAGAACAATTATTGGAAAAATAAATGATGAGCAGCAGAGCATCTGTTTTCTGTCATTTTATTTCTAAACATATACAGACATGAAAGGCCAAGACAACTGTAATCTTATTTATTGGATTTATTATGATAGCCCAGACAGTCAGTCTCACTGCCCCACCCTAATTTTCTTGAGCCAAAGTGATGTCATGTCCAAAGCAGCATTAAGACTTCATTGCTACAATTCCAATTTTTTCTGTAGTCTCCACCCTCTTTCTTCATAGCATGACACTACAAAAATAAGAGGGCCATCAGTGACCTTTCTTAGGGCAGGCACAATGGAAGCAGTACATTCTATAAACTTTCACTTTCCATAATAACGAGGTGTAATAATTCAGAAACAAATCCAGTCAAAGCAGTTTCAGTAAAAACAAAACAAACTATGACAAGCTTATGGTTCTTCCTAAAACCACATACTGCTGTCTTTACTAGCAATCAGACTAGCTTTACCAGGCTGACAATCATTCTATCTAAAGAAAGTCAGAATTCTCCCCCCCCCCAAAAAAGCCAGCTATTGCAAGTTTATTTTGCTAAAAAATAGTTTTCCTTTACATTGTACTTTACCAATATGTTCTCTTGAGTTGTTTGACTGCAATTTCCATCATCCTCATTCATCATAGTCATGTTAATGGAAGATAATAGGAATTATGGCTGAATGCCTCTATCAGGTTAGGAAAGGAAATCATATTTCACATTAGATATTTTACTTCCACTCGACTCCAGATTCTAATAAACAATTTTATTTAAAATAATTAAAGCTAACCTATTTATACTTATTTATCTAGGAGAAAGTGCATTAAATTAGATAGAGCTATATATTTTTAAGGGGAATTCAATGAAAGATGTGGATAGCAAAGTTAGCAAAATGCTAAGTATATGTTAAGAACTTCTACACTAAGCCAAATACAAGATGACATAGAATTAAAATCCCACTTTTCAATATTATAAAGGTACCAATCAAATATAATAAATGAAAAGCAAAACCCATGTTATATCTATTCCAACGCTCCTTTATAAATTGCAAAGTCCAAATAATATTTAAATACAAACCCAAGTCTATATAAGTAAATTACCTATAACCATTCACTTTTAGAACAGTATTAACAATGTCAATGAAATCATTAAAAGGCTACAGTGAAATACCATTTTAATGTATTGCACAATTATCCTGCATATTTAACTGGTATCATTTATCAGCTGACTTACACTTGTTAATAAAACAAAGACAAAACAAAGTAATAAAAAGCTGCAAATAATACTATGTATTTTGCCATGAAATATCAGTGCAAAATGGCATCAATAAGAACCCTATGCACAAACAAGTTTAAAATTCTCAGAAATCTAAAATAGAATCAAAATATGTTTATCAGAAATTTTATAACAGATCATACAAGAATGTTAAACGAAATGGACAACTACTTTACACTTAACACTTCTCTCAAAATATGCAGAATTCGCGGTGACTTTTGCAATCAAATACTCAGTGGTCATCAACCAGTCATCAGGTTTTTTTAAAAAAGAAAGTTGCACTCAAAAAGCAGAAAAGTAACACTTCCAAACAGCACCACGATTTAAACACAATGCACCATATGTTGATTCTCAGCTTACAAGTTTGCCTGCTTCTTTGCTTCCCTCTATAGTTTCCTCCCCCCCATCCTATACATCTGATTAATACCAGCTGTTTCCCTCGATCTTTCCATTCAAGCCTTCTTTCTCAACTTTAAACTCCACTCTGCAGCCGAAAAACATACAGCCACAAGGGCCTTGGGATTGGAAATGCTAAAAGGAGGAGATAGCGCTTCCACTGCAGAGGTCCAGATCTACAATTTACTATATAACCACACCCACCGCATTGCAGAAGCCATGAGCGGGGGAGAGACGGGGTGGCGGGGAGGGGGGGGGCAGACTGGAGGCCACGGAGAGAGACAGAACACGATGCCACTAACCGAGTGCCCTCGCACCAAAAAAAAGCCACGCCAGACGGGTGCAGCGAATCCTGCAAAAGAGCAGTCAAGTTGAAAGAAACCCAGGGACGTGAACAATTCTAAGTTTAAACAAGCGCGGCGGAGTAAAAACCACATGGCATTTAAGGCGGGATGAAGCTACTTTTTTCTTCTGCCGCCAAAACTACTTCGCAGCATTGCCACAGAAGCGGAGGCATTTTTTTCTTCTTTTAAAAAGTATCAACTCACACTCCACCCCTTTATTTCCATTTCTTGACGTTAAAAAGATCCCAATCCAGATCACCGTCGATAATTAAGAGGTAATCAGGGACGATGCTTAACGGGCAGCAGTTATCACAAGGCGAGGCACATCAAGAAACGTTGAGAGCGCAGACGGCCAAAAAATGATTAATACGACCTCGCCACGCTTGGAAATTCCTGTAAGAACTCGTCCCACTGGTCCGGGGGGGGGGGGGGGGGAGCTCAGAAAGAAAAGCGAGGTTCTGCGCACAATTCCAAAGGAGGCACCAAGACTCATCCGCGCATTTCTTTCATTTTAGACCCAGAACTCAATAGACTTACTCAAGACACCCAAGCAAAGCGAAGACTTCCCTATGAGGAAAATCAGGCCACCGGGAGTCTTCCCTACCGCCTGAACGAGCCTAGCCCCGCACCATCAAATAAATCACTGTTGGGGCTGCGGGTGTCCTATTGGGAGTTTCCCTCAAAAAACGGGAATGAAAAACTGACGGGCTGAATACACCCAGGCTCGGCTTCGCGTTCGCGTACAGTTTTTGCTAGGTGACCTTTTCGCCAAATGTAGAGAGACACAAGCGGGTTGCACGAAGCGCGCCTGAGCAAAAGTCAACCCTGCCCCCCCCCCAACTCCGGCTACACACGGACTTCTTCCCAATTTCCCCTCGGCAGAGGAGCGCTATAAAAGAAATGACGACGCCAACATACCACCTTCCCCCTCCCTTTAACGATGCGACTCTATTCCTTCGGGATTCCACCGTCTTCAAAGGGAGCCGCTGCAGAGCCTAATCGTGCAGGGAGGGAAGGAAGGAAAGAAAAAAAGTCAACTTGCATCATGTGCGAGCATTACAAACAAGACCATTTGCCGGCCCACTCTGACAAATACACCGCCACTTCCAGCCAATTCATGCTGCGGTTTGCCTCTGCGTTTCCTCGCGCCGACCCGATGCAGACTGTACCATTCCTCCACGAGCCCTTCAGCGTTTATCGCTCCCCTCCCCCAGTTGTTCCCCTCCCCAAGCGCCCTCTTTCCCAGCCCCAATCTTCAGGGCACACCGGGAGGATACGTAAATCAGCAATAAGAACTTGGCCGGGACTAGCAAATAAAGCGTACTTCGCCATCTAAATCAAGTCATCCGTGCCTAGTTTAGCCAAGTCATCCAATGAATTGGCCAGTTGGACCCAGGCCATAAATTCTTGTGTGAATGTGCAGCGACTTCTACCCAAGTTTTTTTTTCCCTCCCCACCACACCCCAGCTGGTAGACACGGGACGCAAACGTACATATCCGCCCATCCCGTGCAACACCGGCGTTCTGCAGACCGATCCCGCTCGAAACCTTTCGCCGCGAACTGTTAACTTAAAAATGGCTCCTAGTATATACATCACTACAGACTTAAATCAATGCAGAAGAGGAAGGCCTTAAAAGCTTCTGATCTTCCCCGTTTCTCCAAATCTACTCTACATAAGAGATTGTCCCCAAACTGCGTGACGACCCCATGCAAAAGGCGAGAGGGGAGGTCTGCGTACCTTATCCAAAAAGCCGCAGAACCCGGACCCGGAGATCGAAGTCTGTTCCAGCGCGTCACAAGGACGTGCAGCAGCTGCAGCAGTCAGAGCCACGCGTCAGCAGCAGCAGCGCAGCCGGGCTCTGCCCAGGACGAGCCCTCCGCAATTTTCAGCAAATCAGAAATGTGCAAGCGCTTCTAAGACCCCCCGACCGACCTAAACGAGGTAGGAGCTACATCCGGCCACTTTTTTTTTTTTTTAAGTAGAAAATCAATTCTTTTACTTAGAACCGGATGCTGTACCATGAACACTTAATTATCAAAGCCGGTCTCCCAGGCCTTATTACACATGGCATTATGTCTGCATTTGCAAAACGGCGTTGGTCGCTTCTACTTTGTTTTGAAGGAAAAGCAACCGGTTGAGTAACACCAACAGTTATTTGTCATCTCTTCATCAGAGACTGGAAAAGAAGGGTGGGGGGAAGATGCTCCATCCAGAAGATTCCCAGGTTGCTCTCTTCCAACTACTCTTTTATTCTGCGCTTTGCCACTGCAGCAAATAAATATGGAAACAAGAAGGCAACGGCAGCTTTGACACTCTTCTTGCCCTCCTGGTCTGACCACCGAAGACCGGATTGGACTATCTTATTGGCTAGGGAAGGAGGACAAGCGGGGTCTTCTGTCTGCAGCTCTGGATAGTGCAGCACAGAAGAACCACCTAATTTTCTCAACCATTGTAGCCTGGTGTGGGGAGATGGGGGATTAACTCAACTACTTCAGTTTTTAACATTGCCCACCAAGAGAAACAGAGAAACAGAGAACTCAAGCAGAGGCAAAAATCCTTCTTCCATCTCTGCCCTCCCAGAGGGCGTAGTCCTGTAGTCCACTGCTTTTTGTATAGTTCCTCTCTCTGGATAACGCAAGTGTCTCTCCTGCAGTATGCTAAGAAATGGGATGTGTAAACACCCATTGGAAGTTGCAGAAGAGATTGTAGATGAAGAGTCAGAGATACCACCACCAGTTGTCCAATCTTGTGCAACTGCGAAAGTAGTTGACAGCTTTTGTTTTCTGTCACACTAAAAATGACAAAATTGATAAAAATGTGCATTTTTGTCAAAGATGGCAAATGAGAACCTGCACAGCCCAAGAATATGATTGTTTGTGTTGGCTAGAAGTTCATTAGTACATCAACATGTCTTCCTTTCAAAGCAGGTTATAGTGATTTCCGTAAGGTAGCTTCACATTATTATTACCAGAATGGGAAAGACTGAAAACAAGAACTTAAGCCACAGCGGAGCTAAAATTCCAAAATTTTAGAAGTTGATAGTTAACAAGATGAGTGCTACCTTTGACTCATATGACTTTCCCCTAGGCCAAACCAAAAAGAATCATAGCGGCTTTATTTAGATTATGTGAACAACTGTACAGCCAAATATCTTGTACTGTTTCATAGTAATTGCTTTTCATATCATTCCCCAATATTAATTCACATAGTTGATCAAATGTTTTAGTTCTATCAGCCTGGAATTTTTGTTTGGGTTACTATATGTCAGGGGTGGGCAACTGTGGCTTTTTTACAACCTGTGGACTCCCAGAATTCCTGAGACAGCCAAGCTGGCTCAGGAATTCTGGGAGTTAAAATCCACAGGTTGTAAAAGGGCCACAGTCAGTTGCCCACCCCTGCTATATGTGGATAAAATTTATTTCTGTATGAAAGGTTTACCCAATTACCCATATAGACATTCTTCCATGCTTTCATCCCTGGGAGGAAATTGTTGGGTATAAATTGTACTGCCTCCACAGCATGGCCTTAACATGGCTCCACAATGGGCTTATATTGAGCCATGTCTAGAGGGTAAGGAAAATTACCTTAGAATCAAATAATCCTAGTGCTGGAAGAGACCTAGGAGATCTTCTAGTCCAACCCCCACTGCCCATGGTAGGAGTCCTTATTCCATCCTGAACAAATGGTTGTACAATCTTTTCTTAAAAAAACTTCCAGTGCTGGAGTATCCACAACTTCGGGAGGCAAGCTGATCCACTAATTGTTCTCACTATCAGGAAATTTGTCCTTAGTTCCAGGTTGGATATCCTTTGATAAGCTTTCTATCCATTGCTTCTTGCCCTACCCATAGGTGCTTTGCAGAATAAATTAATCCCCTCTTCCTTGTGACAGCTCTTCAAATATTGGGAAACATCTATCTTGTCATTAAACATACCTAGTTCCTTTAGTCATTCATCTTATGGTTTAACCTGCAGCCCCTTATTATCTTTGTTGCTTTTCTATGTATTCTTTTTAGGACCTCAGCATCTCTTGTATTGTGGTAACCAGAACAGGATGCAGTAATCCAATATTCTTTAGCCTTCCTGTGGAGAGTTTATTTCCTGGTCTGGACTACCTAGTGGGGCTCACCCATGTGACAGTGAAGAGACATTACATTTATTTTCCTGGCTGAAATATGAATGTTACCAGTTATGGAAAAAAACCTACCACCAACTGTAATGGTGTATGAGAATGACCTTGGGGCACTGGGAAGAACTGCAGCCAGGGTAATGGTCGGATAGGAGGCAGCTTAGCCCACAACAGGAAATGTGGGTGTGACAAACCCTCTCAGAAGGAACCCTCCCTAATTTCTTTGGATGTAAAGGTGATGGGGAACAAATGTATTTTCAGAGTTGCATAGCTCTGTTATTGTAAACTTACAATAAAGTGGAATTAGTGGAATCTGAGTGTGCTTCTTGTCTGGACATCAACTACCATAAAGAATATGTAGGAGGATGGTACTCATAAGGACTGAAATTTCCATCCCATCATTTTATTCTTTTTTGTCTCCAAAGGACTGCTGATCTCAACCTAATGAACATTCAATGGTATGTGTGAGTGTGTGTGAGAAGGGAGTGGTGTGTTCTGCTGTGTTGAAATGATCTTGAAGTGATTGTTTTTGATTATGTACTATCAAGTAGCAGCCACACAGACAGACCTTCAAAATGATTTGTCCCAAACTCGGATCTTCCACTGGTACGGCCATCATTTCTGTAAGTGAATACATCCTCTTACTGTTTGTCATTCTTTTCTTCTCTTTTCACTATCCCAAGTCTCCTCCTCCAAAGTCCATGGATTGAAAGGTTGTTGTTCAGTCGCTAAATCGTGTCAAACTCTTCACAATCCCATGGACCATAGCGTGCCAGGCCCTCCTGTCTTTTACTGCCTCCTGGAGTTTGCCGAAATTTGTTGATTGATACTATAACCATCTCATCCTCTGCCATGCCCTTCTCCTTTTGCCTTCAATCTTTCCCAAGATAATGTTCCAAATGAGCATTAGATATTGATCTGTACTACAAACTTAAAATAATTGGCTATTTTTCATATTCTTTTGGAATCCTAGCTAAGCAACTTCAATCAGCTGTCCTCAATTAACCTCCTAAAGTGATTCCAGAATACAAAAATAATATTTATAATCCAATTTATTTTTCATTGATTCAACTAATTTTATCTGGAAATAAGTTTCACTGACTTCATAGAAATTTAAAGGTTTAATTTAATTTAAAGATTTTAATTGTTTAGAACTGAATTGATTAGAAACTAATCATTTCAATAACCTATTTTAAGGTATTGTAAAATGTTTCCGAAGATGGTGCACTTCAGATGAGCCCTAACTTCTTCAGAAAGTTATGACATGTAATCAAAGCCATCTGGAAACATTACATTGATGAAACCATTCTAGAACCTGCTTATATTTAATGATCCCTCCTGGAAAAAATAAGTAAATTGTAATAAAAATGTATACATTTCTGCTGTGCAGTTAGCTATGGAAGATTGAATTGAATGTAACACTTGTATCTCCTATCCAGGTTTGAAGGCAAATTGTTTGAATTTGCTAAGTGGTATAACTGATTTCTCGAATGTTTTTGGGGACTGACTTAGGACCACTGGATGCTAGATATTATTTATTAGCATTGTGTTTTATTTATTGTAGTTTATTTTGATCTGCTGAAGTGCGGTGGTTTTATTTTATTTTATAATAAGCTCCCTTGAGTCAATTATAATTTAGAAAAATATATCAAACATATTTTATCAAATAAAACAAAAACAAAATACCATTTAAAAGGCGTTCAGAACATAATAAAAGTTGAATGAGAAGAAATCAAATTATTGGTAATGAACTGGAATTTGTATGCAACAAGATTTAATGTGAACTAATTTAAGAATGTATTCTAATAAGAATTCTAATATTTGTGAATGCAGTTCTGCTAATAGAAAATATGTATGCTCAGATTTCCCTTCCTTCTGCAGCCCCTGAATCCCTTCTGGTTGTTTTCCTGAGCTCTGAATGGAAGTTTTTCTGAGACAGCCTAAGATTGGAGAATTGTAACATATTAGAAAAGCAAGAAAAATGAGATATACTCCTTTTGTGTATGTTCAAAAATGTATTTCAGCTTTGATAATGCTATACCTTTTGGATTGGTTACAGCAGTGGTTCTCAACCTGTGGTCGACTGAGCCCGGGGGGAGGGGCGCAATGTCATGGTCCATGAAGGCTTCAAGAAATGTTATGATTTAAATCTCGAGTTAAGTCTTTGTGATCTGTGGCCATGGCCCACAAAAAGTATCTAAAAAGGGCCCGTGGTGAAGTAAAGGTTGAGAACCACTGGATTACAGTGTTCTTTAACAATCCTGAAAATAACCAGAGTTTAGTGGAAAAGCTAAGAACACACACACACACACAGGTCCCACCATTCTGCCCAAAAAGAAAACAGTTTTCAGCTCTTTCTAAATCTGTCACTGTCAATCTTCCCATGTCAAGAACCCCTCCCCTCTTTCTTTACTGTTCAGAGAACACCAAAGGCAGCTAACAATGTAACAATAAAATATATATAGTTGAAATGTGATAAAACAAATTTAAAACACTATTCAACAACTTACAACATTTTCACTATTTCAGTGCAGAGTAAGCGTTTTAAATTATATCAAATAGAAAAATGTAAAAATGCTTATAAAAAGAGTACTTGTTATGGTTTTAAAACACAGACATGGGGGGCTGAATACTCTTTCTGTATGATAAAACACCTGCCCCACCTCCTTTGCCAGAGACACTTGAAAAGGACCTCT